CACTCAAGCAGGGGCTGGCTGCAGGATAAAGGGAGAAAACATTGATGTCTTCAAGGCATTAAAGCATCTCATGGCATCTCTGTGTATCTTGTGATGCTGACCCTCAGCGACTGCTTCCTGCTCTATTCTACTTGAATTTTTCCGCATGTTTTTTCCTCTGAGGCAGGGCTGCAAGAATCCTCCAAGGTCATTAAAAAAACACTTTGTGATTAAAACGACACAAGAGCACAAGCAGTTTAGTGTTTGCAAAGAGTGGGTTAAAAAAGTGTTTTGAGATAGTCAGGACTCCCAGCATGAAGCAAAGACACTGGAAGTAGAGAAATTACTTCTCTAACAGTAACAGCACACAGAGCAGAATGTGGTCAGCGATACTCAGCTGGAGAACCAGATGATTTCAAACCACAGGCACAGCCTGCCAAGGTGTTTGGAAGAATCTCCATCCTTCAGGTATTGCTTTTTTAGTGAGTTATTGGTGGTTCAGTGCACGTTATGGGGCAAATGCAGATGCTGGTTGCCATGGAGAGCAAGAGATTTTGTTTGAATGACATCGTCCTTTCTGGATTTGAGAATGTAAATACCGCAGAGAGCTTGGACAGACATTACAAAGCTGCCACTTCAGGTAATCATCCTTCAGCGTGGACATTATTCAATGCGAACTGAAAGAGTTAAGTAGTGGGGGTCACATCTCCATTCTGTCCCCTTCCTCCTCTTTATAAACCCCAGCACATACTAGATTTACCTTTTGCTGGTGCATGCAGATTCAAAACCCATCTATTGAGAGGTGGCTTCTGCCTAGAGTTTCTCATCTTCTTTTTTGATCCAAAGTTTACATATTAACGGAGAAGCCTCTGGCCTCTCTTATCACCTGAGCAGCAGTTCCCCTTCTCTTTTAATCGAGGCACCAGATGGAGATAAGATTGCCTCAGCCCTACATGCAAAAAGGCAGCGTTCCAGCAACAAAGAAATACAGCAGCTTCCCTTTTCTGCTGATATTTGAGCTCTTTTGGTGACTATTTGTGAAAATTACAATCAGCTTCAAGTAAATATTGTTCTTCTGTTCTGCATTCTCCTCTCAAGTTGGATTGTTATCAGCCACAACCACTGAACACCTCTCTAGTGCTGGAGGGAGGCTTGCAAGGAAAAAGGAGTATTTCTTCATTCCTTCCTGATAAGAATGTGCCTTTGAAATATTTTTAGCTTTTTTTTTTATTATAAAACTTTCTTTTTAGGAAAAAAGAGGGACTTTAAGCATTTTTTTTTTAAATTACAAGTCTGACAATGTAACACCAAGTCTCCTGGTTTGGGGAAAGGAAGCTTGGCTGGTTTTCTATCTGGAGACATTAATTATGAACTCTTTTGGTTACATACAGAAATAAATGCTATGTATTTCTATATTTTCTCTGTTTGACTCTTAACTTTTCTGGACATACAGCCAGGAAGAGGAGAGAAGCATAGGCACATCCAGAAAGAACAGCACCACCAAAGCTCCCCAGTGACCTGCTTTCTAGGTCTGTAGTTAGGATGCCCCAGAGATACATAGCTAAATGCCCCATCAATGCTGCAAGATGGGGGCACGAGGGCTACCTCCGCTCCCAAAAACCCCCAGATCACCGTTAAGTATGACAGCAACCCTACAAGAGGTTTCCCACGGGGCCAAAGCTGCTATCTCACCCTCTCCTGCCAACTTCTGCAAAGGTATTGGAGCCCATCCAAGACTTTGCTTAAAATCAGGGCTTCCCCTGCATCAAGGCTCTGCTGATTACAGAGCAGTCTCGCTCAGAGCAGGCCCCAAGGACGCAGAGACTAATTGTCCTGGGACTTGCCCTCGGGTCTGAACAGGAGGATCCCTGCATGACCATGGGAGGAGGGAGCCCGTATCACCCATGTTGCAGTGCTCAGCTTTCTGCAGAGCAGCTGATAGCAGCTCTGAGCCCCACTAGCTCCCCATCTTCACCCTTTCCCCAGGAGCATCCCACTATTTCCCACTGCTGTCATCTCAAGGTCAGGATTTGGGTGGACTCAGACTGTTTTACACCCTGATGGGTTGCTATAACCTCTGCTGTAAAGTACCACCCCTATGACCACCTATGGACCTACACAAGCCTTAATCCCCATTCAAAACCAGATGCTTGTGGAAAACCTTTTGGACCAGAAACCTCTCAGTCTCAGCATTTGCTCCTGACCTAAAGCCAGGAGGTACCACCTACCATTTAGCACTTTTTCCTGTCCCAGGAGGTCCTACACTGAGCTGTACAATTGGAAATGACAGGTCCCAATGGGTCTCTGCATCGAGGAGCAGAGGACAGGGATAACTGAGGAGGGTTGCGAGTGCCAGATCTTATTCCTAGTGGAAGTCCTACGTGCCAGCAACCACTCAGCTCCCAGTGGTTCTGCAGGGGGTTAGGAGCAGAGCAATCCAGAGCCAGCACCTGTGAGCAAGGCTCCAACCTGACTTTCCAAAAGTGGCTTTGCATGTGGAGCTGCAGACCAGCAGTGACCTCCAGTGGTTACAGCCAAACCTGGTGGAAGTGTCAAGCCAAAACTGCTCCGCTGTAGCCACACAGGGACTGGGGCACCAGGGGCATCCCAAAACCAGCACCCAAGCCGTGGGACCTTTGCATCAGCAAGCGATGGACCAGGGCTCACCCTTGGCAGCCCCACACCGCTCTGAGTTGGGTTCTCGTGTGGCAATGCCATGCTCTCCTAGCCTCCAGGCTTGCCACCACAGGCAAATTTCTATATTTTCTTTTCTTATTCTATTCCCAGGACATCTCATACAGCCCTCAGGAGAGCGTGCAGACACCGCTCACCAAATGGAGCGATAAAACTTTATCTGCCTGTCTACTGCAGCTTTCTGCAGAGACATAACTAACACCAGAAAACGTGCACAAAAGCAAGGAGAATGTGTGTGAGAGGATAGACCATCTACGTGGACCAGCTCTCCCTGGGAGCTAGCAGAAGTGCAAGTTTAAAGCGCTGAGGCAGGTCTCTTATCAGCCACTGCTCTCACCTTCCTAGGCAACTTGTACAAAAAAAAATAGTACTGGTACTTTCTAACTGCTGAGTCCCATGAAAAATCCATAAAACATGGTTTGTAACTCACCAAAGAAGCATTGAATGCAGACATCTTGGCTACAGCAAAGCTTCCACAGAGCTGCAGTTGGGTTGCAGTGCACCTCTTGAGCCCCTGCTGCAAAGCTCACAGCTGCTTTGGACTATGCACATCACACATATACATCTGCAGGGCCTTCCTGCAAGCACCAGACACATGCACACAGTCACTTATCTGGGTGCTACTGCCTAAGAAGTCACCCTGGAGCAAGCTGCAAAAGTGGAGCATCCAAGGAACAGCAGCTGCCAGGGGTTTGCAGTTATAACCTGCCCAGCAATCAGGAATAGAGGGAGAAAGCTGTGAAGCTGCAATGGGACACAGCTGTGCAAGCCACAGCAGCTGTGCCATGAGGCTATCCCTGCAGGAAAAGCCAGGGGAAAAGGCTCAGGGCAGCGGCTGGTGGGTCAGGAGAGGAGCCTGGGAATCAGCTGAGCAGAGCCAACACGTCATCAGGGCTGGGATGAAATCCTCAGGCACAGCAGGGGCCAGCTCCATGGGAAAAAAGTTGAAGTTTTCCTAGGAAAGTGTTCCACCCACTCCATCCCTGCCAAAAGCACGAGTACTGAAGGGATGTGACGCTTGCTATAGCAAAAAATATATTATCAGTGCAGAAAGTGTTTGGAGAGACAGCTGGAGCACCCAGCTCCCAGGCAGGACCAGGCTGTGAGAGGTGACACTGGGGCAGGCCCCTTCTCTGGTCCATCTCCCCGTGCTGGCAGGGGTTGCTGCCTTTCTCAGCTGCCAGGATGCCGGGTGGGCTGCAGGCATCACCCCACTGGTGAGTGGCTGCTCCCAAGAGCAAGCACTCACCCAAAAGGACCCGACACAGTGAATCGGAAAGAGCAAATAGCCATATTTAACTCCATCAGTCTGGGTGAAAACAGACACTTCCCAACACTGCTTTTCCGGCTTAATTACCCTCCACCGCAGTTATTCTGCCATGCCCAAAAGCCATCCATAGGCATCTCTCTTGCCAGTCTGCTTCTAATAATACACTTATTGAATCAACATGCTGTATAGATACACCAGACTGTCCCCATCACTGCTGTGACAGCCCCAGAGCTGTCAGGGAACAGGGGTCCACAGGCAGCTGCTTGCAGTGCATGCAGGGCAGCCGTGGAAGGGCCGTTTCCATCCCAGCAAGAAGCCTGCTGGCCACAGCCACACCAGATTGCAAGGCTTGAAGTCTCTCTTATCCCTTGTAAAGCAAAAAAAAACCTCCTTCTGGCCTCCTTGTGAAAATATTTTGGCTGTTACAGCCTCAGAGACTGAAGGTAAAGTGAGTCGTAATGATGCTAAGTGAAACAAAATCATCCACTCCCTTAGGTGCACAGCCGTGGAAGAGCCTTTCCATGGGAAAAATGAAGCAGGGTTTTCAAAGCACTTGAAAAAGTAGGTATTGCAAAGGGCCAGAGGAATACAGCATGGCTGTATTTTAAGGAGTGACCTAGTAGGGTTTGTATTAAATCTTTTAAGAGGGGCTATTAAAAACACAAGTGGAAGGACTGAATAACTTCTTGCCAAAAGATGTTCCTGCCACCATCCTTTCCTCCATGCAAGTACCCCCGGCTGCCTTTGCCAGCTTGGGTTTGCCACCACAGTCCTTGATCAAGTGGCACTGGGGATCACTTAAGTGTCTCATCTTGGCCTTGTCCTGGGGACATGTTCATTTCTGTCCAGTACAGGAGAGAAGGCAGGGACTGCTCATTCAGAGGGAAGCATATCCTTTCCCTCCAGCCCCTCCTCTCGCTTGCCTTGGCCTTGAGAACTCCTTATTCCCAGCTGCTATCTGGCAGCATGGTCCTATCATCAGGTGCTGGCCTTCAGGCCGGCTATAAAGGCACACTGGGATGCAGCGTACTGCTGGAGGCAGCCCTGCTCCTGCGCCATGCTGCGGGCAACCATCAAGCTGTGCTGCGGCATCGCCCACGACCACCTCTGCCCCCTGCCCGGTAAGCACCATTCATTCAAAACAGGCAGAAAAGAGGCTCCTAAAGGAGATGCTAGGTCTGTATCTGGTGGGCATCCCCTTGGGAAGTGTTCCCTTGGAAATGTCACATCCATGCATCTATTTTTCTCCCACATTGTATCATGCGTACGGTATTCTTGGTCTTAGCTGCTAATGAACTTCCAGCAGAGACGCAGGGCACCACAGTATCTTCCTCACACGTTCCATGTCCAGGCATCTCTCCCCTAGGCTTGAAGATAACAGCTGTTGCAGCTATACAGAAGGACGTGAGAAGGCTTGTGGTAACAGGATCCCATCACCTGCTTTCCAAAATTCCTCATTATGTTCGGAGGCTGATAGAGAAGGAGCCAGGTAAGGCCAGCCCAGGTGCTCGGGTACCACATTTCCTAGCCCTGCTCACAATCCCCTTGCAACACATGATGGAGGGATGTGTATTAAAATGCACCCCTCACCATGTGATTTCACCCATATTTTGGAGGACAGAGTTGACTGCTGGGCTGGTCTCCAGCTCACTGGTAGCTTAAAAGCATTCCCTGTACTGATGGCAAATTGGGTTAGCAGGGAGACTCTGAGATTCTGGGAAAGCAAATTGCATTAGCTTACCGTACAGCCAAAGCTTTCAGCAGAGGTCACGGTCACTTATCAGTCTTTTGTTGCATGTCTACTGTGTCTCTAGTTCCACCACTTACTTAAAGACTTGAAAACTGGCAAATTCATTTGGGTTTTTCTGAAGAGTGGCTTGGTCCAAAGGCTGCCTATGCAATGTTAATAATACCCAAGGAGCAAGCACTTTGTACCGCAGTGTTACTGGGAACCGATTTGGAAAGTGATTTCAAAAAGCTTTCCAAGAATTCAGCACAGACACAGTGAATGGATGCCAGGGATGTTCCTGACAGCAAGGTTTTCTGCACCAAGCTATCTCACAGCCAAGAAGGGGACCAGTTGGGTGGTGAAAATGGCAGTGTAAGAGCCAAGACTTCAGGTCAGCAAAACCCTCTGCTCCAGCTCTGTTTGCACTTCTGTACCCTCAGCCATGTGCGCAGGCAAAGCTGGGGGCTGGTTTTACACATTTCCTTGCCTTTCTCCCGCAGCCACATGCCCAGAGCCTGATGGAGATGTCAGCCCCAGCCGGTTCTCCAGCGTAGACCTCTCCTACATCAGCCAGGGAGAAACGGCCCTGCAGCAAGCGCTGAGCATCCTCCAGCAGCACACCAGCTGGCAGGCAGAAACGATACTGGTAAAGCCCAGCCACCCCTTGCTGTGTCATGCCAGAAAAGCTCTCAAGTGTAAAAATAAACCCGGGGAGGGGAAATTTGCTTCTCTTATTCCCCCTGCTTGAAGGGAAACGATGGGTGTAGGAGATGTGCCATGCAAAGCATGCATGGCAAAGAGGGTTTCCATGTGAGCCTTCATTAAGCACACTCACAAGCAAATCTGCAAAGTAAATAAAGAGCAGGAAAAGGCTTGGGAGGGCAAACTCAGATAATCCTGTTCCTGGAAAGTCAGGAGCATTTCTGTCCAAAAACCCAACAGATTGCGACTCTGTTGTTGTTTGTGTCATTAATTCATTAAGCTGCGTGCTGAATTGTTGAATTTAGCTAGAAAGCAGCTTTAAAAAAAAAGACATGGTTTAGACATAACAGCTTCCGCCTGTAAACCAAGCAGTGATTAAAGAGGACTGGGTTGATGTATTAGCAAGGCGTTTCAGCACGTATCCGGCGCCTCTCGGGCTGTTTCTGGCTGCAGCAGGCTCTCTGTTTTCCCAGGATGCCGGGGCTGCTGTGTCCAGTGCCACCCTCCCCGGTCTGGGCAAGGTGTTCCAGGTAGAGGTGATCCTGGCCGTGCCGGTGGCTCGGCTGCATCAGGAGCTGTTCGAGAGGATTGAGGAAATGCCCCAGTGGAACCCAACCCTCAGCCAGGTGAAGGTACAGCAGGGAGGGATGGGTGAGGGTGAGGTGGGGAGGGATGGGTGAAGGTGAAGTGGGGACTGATGTACCACAGGCAGCGAGTGATGCCACCACGGGCAAATAGCCCGAGGCTTTGCATCGTCAGGGTTGCTAGCACCCAAAAAAATCGTATTTATCAAGGTTTTTAAGAAGCACTAAGGCTAATTCTGCACTCTTGCAAGAGGAGGATATCACTCCAGGGAGCAAAGATGCGCTTTACTGGTGTGGCAGTGAGAAACACGTTTCCAAGCTCTCTTTTCCGCACAGTGCCTGTTGACGGAGGTTTTTCTGCACTGAGAGACTCTGACATTGCTCAGGCTTTAGTGTCAGAGGAGAAGCTGTTCAGGGGAAATCATCTCAAAAAAAAGAGGCTAAACCAAATATATCACAGTGCAGGAGCACCCCCAGGAAGCTTATGTGTTGTTCTGGGTTTCTTTTCAGTGTTTGCCTTATTTCTCAGCTCCCAAATCACAGCATATCCCTAAGTAAGCTGCTTGCCTCAGAAAACCTCCCCTAGCTCACCTGGGCTGGCTCAGATGCTACCCAGCCTTATTTATGGCTTATTTATTGCTACCACTTCCCCATCCCTTCAAGAAAAAGAAATAGCATAGAGTCCTGTCCCAGATAAAAAAGCTGTAAAAGTCATCTGCTTACTCCCTTAATAGCCTGCAGAAGATTTGGGTTTAGTTATCACCAGTTACCAGCCCTAAGCCCCCACCTTGCTGCTGCTTCTGCTCATGCTGCCACCCCACGCTGTTGTCCCCAAGGTGGCTTAAGGTCCCCTGGGCAGGAGGAAGGGGGTGGCAGGGATATCCTTGGAGGGGCAGCCCCAAGGAGCCTAACCTTTGGGGCGCTTCTTGCTCTGCTAGGTGCTGCAGCGTGTCGGGACGGACACGCTGGTGACGCATGAAGTCACTGCTCCTTGCCCAGGCAACCTGGTGGGCCAGCGGGACTTCGTCAGTGTGCGGCACTGTGGGAGGAGGGAGATGGCCGTCTACCTGGTGGGCACTGCCACCCATGTCGAGCCACTGCCCTCACAGGAAGGGTGCATCAGGTACAGCCTCTAAAGTGATCATCACGGGGTATCACATCCCTGCAGCGGGGGAGACACTGCTGTAGCCATGAATGTTGGCACTGGGCATGGCAAAGGAGGCACACCAAGAGCTACCTCCTCGTTGTGTTTGTTCTGGGATCTCCTTTCCCCCATTTTCCTTCCTCACCCTAACTGTCCACTCCCTTGCCCACCGCAGGGCCGAGTCCCGGCTGAGCTGCATTGTCCTGCAGCCGCTGGCGGGGGACCCTGGCCGTACTCACTTCACCTGGCTCCTCAGCATGGACCTGAAGGCGAGTGCCACCATGTTATTTGGGGTAGGACACCAAGGGGTATGCATTCCAGAGGGCAAGTGCACCCTCCTTCACGGATGGGCACCCTAACTTTCTTTGACCCCACGGGACCAAATTTGAGGTGTTTTCTCTCCCAAAGGGCTGGATCCCCGCGTCAGTCATTAACCGCATCCTGCCACAGTCCCAAGCAGACTTCATCAAGCACCTCTGCCGACATCTCTCTGCCACCACGGACACCTGAGCTGCGGGTGGACAGAGTATGAGGGATGAGGGAGGAGGACAAGCACAAGGGACACAGCATGAGCTCGAGACCCACTCCTGCCCCTGCAGCTGCCAGCAATGGGGCAAGGAGATGCACTTACTGAAGAAGCCCAAACGTGGAGGACACCCTTCACCCAGCACCATACTCCTGCTTGAGGGATGGAGCAGAGCATCTGCAAGCTGCCTCGAGCCTTGCATAAGGGGTTGCCCAAAAACCAGCAACGGTAGCTGGCATTCAGCATCACTCCTCCCCATCGTGCACAGGGAAAGGGGGTGGCTGCCAAAACACACTCCAATGTTGGGTATCGCTGCCCATGATGCCACCTCTTCTGCAGCTTCAACCCTGCCCTGGTTTCATCGCTCTCTATTTCTTGCACGACCATGGTATCAGTTTTCAGTACAAGCTCAGGGGCTCTTCTTGGCCTGAACATATCTTTATTTTTCCAATGGCTAAGCTATGTATTTATGTGCGTGTATATATGTATATACATGGTGGTTTTTCTCCTGCTATGTCAACAGTAGCAGGCACAGCCACAGCAGGCATATGGTACTAAAGCCGCACCCTGGAGAGGCAGAAAAGTGTTTTTCACCATCACTTCAATTGGTTTAGGTGTACTGCAATGTGGAAGGGGATGAAGCAATGAGCAGATAATGATGAGCAGCAGCAAAACTCTGGCAGGGTTGGACTCAACCCCATAATGCAGCATCGGGACCATGCAGCACAAAAAACCCCACCATGAGTTCTGTCCTAGGAGGATCCCCAGGACATCACCAGCCATCCCATCCCCACAGCCCTTGGCAGCAGCAGGGATGGCCAGGCCAGTGATCTGTTACACCACATCCTGGAAACAAGCAGTTTGTGCCATAAAGCCACTGCCAACTGTGGCTGGAAATAAACCTTGTAAGAGTGAAGCTGAGCAGCTGGGTGTCAAAAAATGTTATTATAGCCACTGCAGGGTGTTTGTAATTTATATATCCTCAAGTTTTGCTGGGTCTCGCTGTGCGAAATCCATTTCAACAACCACGCACAGGTCACGCTCGTATTTTACCCCTCACACATCCACTCCCCCAAATAAATGAACAGAAAGAGATTTTGATGTGGATTTTTTTTTTTTACATAATGTTAGAGTTCAAAAAAAAAAAAAAGAGAGAGAACCCAACAAAATTAATAAATATTAAAAGTTAAAAAGCTCTGAATCTCGTATGTACAAAACTTTATACATCATGGTAACACTGGACAAGGTTACATCACAGGAATGACTCGGTGCATCTGCCTGGCCCAAGAGGATGCAGAGGACCAGACGCACCCTCTTCTCGTGGAGACAGGACCAAATCCCTGCAGGCAGCTGGGACATCCCATCGCTACATCCCCGCACCGCAGCTGCCCACGAGGAGAAGCGACCCAACCTCAGCCTGTCCCAAGTTGCTTCTTGTCCTCGCCTGAAATAAACACCCCAGTGCTGAGCCCCAGCCCTGCAGCATCACCACCCCAGAGCACCCACGTGTGGCAGAGGAAGGGAGGGGGTTTATCACACCCTGCTTTAAATAATCTCGCCCACCTCTCTCAGCTGGAGGTGGGGGTTAGCACCTGCAGCGCAGACACCCCGGAGACCCTGGCTATGGGGTGCAAGGGGAGCCGCAGCTCTCCTCCGAGGTATAGCAAGGAACCACTGCAAATATTCCTAATGCAATAAAGCACTAATGCCCAGGAGAGCACTGGAGGGAGGGGTGCAGCTGAGAATTTGGGAGGAAGGAGCAAGCACCTGCACCCTGGAGACATTACAGATCATTTTTCAAGAGGGGGGAAGGTTTTGGTTTTATTCAGTGCCTCCAAGGCTACAGGGCAAGGGGCTGAATGCTCAAGAAAAGCCTTGCTTCGGGCTTTTCTGGGGTGCAGTCCCACCTCGAGCTAGCCCAGTGCTGTCCCAGCAGCAGAAGAGGGCTTCACCATCCCCATGCCACCGGGGAGCGATGCTCCTTGAAGAGTAAACCAAGCGTTATCTTTGGCACAATAAATAAATGCAGAGGGCAGTGCTGGTGGATAGGCTGGCAAAGGGCATGGTGGTGGTGTCAGCAGCCTGAGGGATGAACCCCACTCTGGTATACCCCCAGCATCTCGTTGATCCTGTGGGTACCAATACCTGCACACCTCAGACGTGGGCACCCCACCGCAGCATTTGGTAGGCATCCCTCCATCTGTGTGCTCCTCCAAGGTGTGCTGGCTGCTTGGCTCACACAGACCCATGGCTTTGTTTCACCTTTTGTGGAGCCCACTTAATGCCAAAGGGCAGCTCCTGGGAGCCAGGGGACCACCAGACTCAGGGGCTTTTAAGGGTAGTTAGATAAATGTCCTCCAGCCTTGCCTCAGAGATGCTTTGGGAAGAGGGTGCCCAAGCCACCCTCTTAACATCTCTTCAGCCCTTTCTGTACCATTGGGTAAGTCCAGGGGAACACAGCAGAGGGAGGGCTGCATCAGTCCAACACTTAAAACACCAGGAACGTGCTGGGGCCTCCATTTGTTTCAATTACAGCATCAACCACCCTCAACTTCACCCCTGTCACAAGCCACACCAGGCTAGCAAAGTCTGTGGGGAGCTTGCACACTGATGTGAGCTCCTCCAAGATGCCCCAATTTCAAGTTTCTTGCAACCACACCAGTGCTCTGCCCTGGCCCTGATGGCACTGACAGCACCAGGCTCGAACAGCAGCGTGCCCTAAAACCCACAGGTTCCCAGTGCATGCCAAGCACCCCAGGCCACCTCGTCAGCAAGCCCCGGCCACCTGAAGGGCTTAACAACCTCTGTCTCTTGAGATGACCCGTGCAGCACATCAGATGGCCAGGGAAGTAGCACCACTGCGGCCATCGCATGCAGCCACGCCATGCATGGGTTCCCAAAAGACCTCACTTGGCAATGCCAAGCTGGTCTATCCACTGAGCCTTGTCCTTCTCAGATTCCATCCTTCCAGCCCCAAAACCTCCTTCCTACCAGCACTCATCCCCCATGGGAGCCCACCTTCCCCCTGCCACCAAACCATGAGGGTGCCCTCAGCTGGGAGGCTGCACACCCCTAAGCACCAAAACCAGGGCAGCCACCTCAGGGAAGCCAATAGGGGACATGGCAGACACTTTGGAAAAGTTCTAGGGACTGCAACTCCCCCAGGCAGAGCCTGTGCCTGGAGCTGGCCTGACACCAAGCAAGCTTCATGCAGCCCAACCCTCCTAAAGTGCTGTGCGTATGTTTAGTACCTGGCACAAAATTTTTTAATGGCATTAATTACCCCCCTTTTCACTCCCTCCCATGTGACAAGAAGGATGCAGATGAATCTACCTCTCTCTTTGCCTTGTAACTGCCCCCAAATTTCTCCCCCAGTCTCCCACTCCTCCCCATTTCCCTCCAAAAGGTGTGGGTGCCCTGCAGACACTGGGTACGAGGGTGCAGGGATCAGGCTGCTGGTCCTGGGGATGCTGAGCACCGGTACCAGCTCAAGACTGGCCAAGGGCAGTACTGGCTAAAATGTCACTGCTGGGTGACAGGCATTTTTTAAAAGTATTTTTGGTCTTTGACCTTGTTCTTATTGCTCATGTGAGAGTGCCTGGATGATCTCCCACCTATCCTGCCTTGCAGGGCAGAAGCTGTTCTATGGTTTTCATGCTCCATCTCCCCTCAAACACATCTCCCAAACTCTCTACCCCAACGGGAACAGCCTAGGGCAGCAGTCTGGGCTTTCTCTGACGTCCTCCTCTCTTTGCCACCTCCCTCCAGTTGCTTGCCCCCCAGCTTCTCAGCATCCTCCCATTGCTACCCCCAAGCTCCAAGCATCAGAGCTGAACCTTCAAGCCAGGACCCTCCTCTCCAGCACATTTTGTGTTGCTGCTTGGGGCAGCAAGGAGAGAGAAGGAAAAAGCAACATTAAAGCCACCCCCCAAATCTTTTTAGCACCTTGGAAGTAAGCGGCCCATCGCAGGTTACCTGTAGGCAACTCACTGTTGCTTTTTTTTGCTCCTTTTTACCTTTTCGCTGTGGCACTGTAAAAAAAAAACCATGCCACAGCTGGGAGGGTGAGGGATCATGAGAAAAAAGTGGTTTTCCCAGGAATTTCTGGGTCAGCTGGGTCGTTTGCAAACCTGGCAGTGCCACCTGTGAAAACCATCGCTGGAAGTAGGGAGGAGGGAAGAGATAAAAAGAAGAGGAGAAGGAAAGGGAGTAGGGGGACAAAAGGTTTTCCCTGCCCCATGGCAAGGGGGTCCCGAGTGGGTTACCTGGCTGCCCAGCCCCTGCCCAGCTCACTGGGGGCTGGCAGCCCCCCAGGGTAAGCACCGCTGCTGGGCACCCCTCCACCAGTGGCTGGCCCAGCCTGAGGAGCTGGGGTGGAGTCCCCACCAGGTCCACCCTGGGCAGGGGTGGTGGGGTGAGGGGAAAGCAGTGGAGCAGGGCTGGGAGCGGTGGTTCCTGAGGGAGCAGTGGGGCCGGTGGCGGGGGGCGAGCTGGTGGCAGAGGAGGCTTTCTTGCTGCAGGATTCACAGCAGAGCTTGTTGTAGCCAGGGATGGAGCAGTAGCGGGCCAGGACCTCCATCTGGCAGAAGATGGACTTGTCCCCGAGGCAAGGCTCCCCTGGAGAGGGACAGAGCAGCATCAGACAGCATGGAAGATGGAAGATGGCATTAGGCTCCCACCCCAGCACCCTTCCATTGGTCCCAAAGGCAATGAGGTGCCCCCCCTTGCAGGGTGGTACCAAACCGGCTATTGCTTTCTGACCGAGGGCAGCAACTTTGGCAATGCTTGTACAGGAAAGGGGATGAGTGAGTTGGAAAACAAAGCCAAAGCATTAGAGGTTTCTGTACACGACTGTAAAGCCATAGAGCAAGGGATACTCCAAACCAGACTCTTAAATCAGACCGTAATGCACCTCGCCTCGGGTATGAAGCCCTTGCAGCAAAGGGCAAATTCCAGAAGTCATCTCCCTACTTGAGTAATCATG